TGATTCTGTGATCTCTTTGGGAGAACCTTTTGGTGAGTTCCATCACCTTGATGGTCAAGTCCAAATGTCATTAACATGGTATGCCAGGTCCTGCCAGCATTCCTGCCTCTTCTCCCACCATTTGCCCTCAGTCATTCTACGCTCTAGGTCCTCAGTGTTTCCTCTCCATTTCCACCACTTAGCATGCTCTTTCCCATAACATTTGATGCTTATTGGGTTCCCTAAGAAGTGGGGAAATTCACATGTAGGAGGTTTATTCGGGAGCACTCCAAATTCAACAAGTGTGGAAGGGAAAGGAAGGAAGTACTATTGGACAGAAAGAGAAGTCAAGCTGCACTGAAGTTTTGCCAGAAACTCAGCCAACATTTCAGGGACTTGGGAAGATGGGATAGCCCTTCAAAACTATCCCAAATTGGAGTGTGAGGATCTGGCTTATCCCCAGGTCTCTCAGTCATTGGAAGCCACCCTGGGAAATTAGGGATGACCTTGAACAAGGTGGTTCTCTTTAGCCAAAGCAATTCCCGAAGGAGACTGACAGCTGAGGGCTGTCTGAAAACTGACTACTAAAAGCTGTCTGCCAAGTCATTAAAATAATAATTTAGCTTTTGCGGTAAAATGCTGTTCTTGCCAATGGCTATGGTATCCATTCTAAAGGCAGGGAGAATAAATTCCATTATGACTGGCTCAACCACAATTCCAAGTCCTTCCCCAGGTAAGGGCTTATGGCCAACCCCCTCAGTCTACAGATGGGGAAACAGAGGCCTGGAGAGAGTCTCAGATCATCAGCTACCACGATGACACAGTCTTATATAAACAGCTAATATTTGAATGTTGATACTAGGTTGTACCAGATGCTTTATATGACTTATCTAATTAACTACTCATGAAAATTCTATGAGGTAGCAACTATTATTATCTTCATTTGACATATATGGAAACAGGCTTAAAGCAGACAGCTGGGTAATTAGTCCAAGATGACACAGCTAGTAAGTGGTGGATCTAGGATTTGAACCCAAGTTACTCTGACTCTAGAGCCTATAACTAGTAACCACTAAGATGAATTTCTTAGTGCAACAAATCATCATCCTGGGCCTCGTGAGATACTGAGAAACGTGTGTGACTTGCTATTATTTCTAAGAATGGATACAATAGTACCACATAAAGCACAATATTTATTTTCTGTTTTCAGGGTAAGAGAATAAGCAAATGTGCTTTTAGATAGAAAATAAGTTTTGTATCAACAACTATATAAACCAGAGAATATGGAAGTAATTGTCAGCTTCCTTGTCGATTCCATGTCAGTTCCTCTTGACCTGGGGGCCTTGCTCTTTCCACAGTTCTGCTGTCTCTCCAACAGATGCCTTCAGTTCCAATCAAGAAAGATGTGAACCTGAGTGTCTTTCAGCAGATATGGGAGACCTTCCTCCTGCCCTCCCCAAACTCCCAGGTCTGAAGGGGAGCAGCTGGTCCAATAAGATGGTCCCTGGTGGCTTGATAAAAGACCTTCCCTGATGCCTAAGAAACCACCAAAATTGACCCATCTCCCTCTCCTCCATCAAAATGAAACCTATTTGAGTAAAAAGACTCTGACATATAGAGATTTCCCAATGTAGAAATGGTGTTAAATTATAGTAGTATGATGTGATCCAAGAAACTGTCTGAAAATGTGGATTAATTTGTTCAACTAACATTAGTTGTGTTCCTACCAAATGCCAGGCCCTGGGCCAGACACTGGAGGATGCCGTGTTTTGGGAGTTTGCCATTTAGTACAGTAGTTCTCAAATATTAGCATGGATAAGGACCACTTGGGAAACTTGTTAACAATCATATTCCTGAACCCCACCCCCAGAGTTTCTGATTCATCAGGTGGGGCTGAGGTTTAGGAATCTGCATTTTAACTAGTCCCCAAGCAATTCTGAAGCAGGTGGCCTTCCTTTGTATCTTGAGAAACCCCAATGTAGTAGACTTGAAGTTCTGATCAAGTGTTTGTCACTTGAACGCAGGACTGCAGGGGGTTGGATGTTATGTGATTTCTAATTCATTCAAGAAGCCTTAGAAAAACTTCCTGGAATGGTTTTCTGTGAAGCAGCACACCAGTATGACACCATTTCTTTTCAGGAGAAAGACATTGTGTCATGTCCAAGAGAAGTTGAAAGAGTTTCACTGAAACAATTCAAGAATGTGTGTGTATAATTCATCAACTGTATACTTAAGCTTTGTATACTTTACCATATAGATATTAACTGTATGAATGTTATACCTCAATTTAAAAAAATGTTTTAGAAAGGGTAAGGTAAAGAGGGTAAAGGGGTTTAAATATGGCATTCTAGAGGGAAGTAGGGAGAAGGAGTTGGATACTAGCAGGAAAGAAAACAGGAAGGGAGAAAATCAGACCTCTTAATGAAGGCACCAAGTAAATCCTCAGCAGCTGGCATAGTAGAAAGAGGGCTGGAAATAGGTATTGGCAGATGTGGGTGCAAATAGGCTAAAGAGTTCGGGTAACCATGAGCCAGACACTTTGGACACAAAATAAAGGAATGAAGGAAGAAGGGAAAGGGAAGAAAGAAGGGAGTGAGGGAAGGAGAGAGGCAGGACAGGGGGAGAGAGGAGAAAGAAACAGAAAGAGGAAGGCCCTGACCCTAGGGGGAGCTTAGAGTCTTGTGACTCTGATTGTGTGGCCTTCAGGAAGTCATTTGACTACTCCAAATCTGCATGTGGCTCTTTAAAATGAGGCTGGATCGCTGAAAGTGGGGAGTAATAGAGATGGTATATGCACAAAGCTTGTAAACTATAAGGGGCTGCTGAATGCTGCTTATTATGAATAGATTCTGGCGCAGAGTTAGGCCAGCTCCAAGTGTGGCTATGAACACGTACGTACACGTACGTGTCCAGTTCAGCTTCCCGAGTGACTTCTCACATCTTTGCCTTGCCTGACCACCAAACTCATAGGAGTTTGGGTGGCAGGTTTTCCTTCCCTTTCTTCTCTGCTTTGAGCTAACTTGGATATCGCTTTGTGCAGGCCTGACAATGAGATGCCTTTCAGCACCCCCACCTCCAGCTGTTCTCCTTGGCCCCCAGGAGTCCCTTCCACCTTCTTCCAGGTAGGGCCAGCTGTTGTCACAGAGGCCACCTGCCTCCTCCCTGGCCTGTGAGTCACTAGCTGGAGGCCAGAGGCCTCACTAGAGGCCTCCAGGGACCAAAGCAACTTGCTGGAGGCCCTTGGGGAAGGGGGAAACAGCACAGGCACTAACATGAAATGAATTGTCTATAAATGTCTTTTAATTAAAATTGTGATACTTGTGCTATGCAGAAGAGTCTCTTTAAGAACAACTGCACTCCGAGTGGCAGGCACAAAGCTCAGCAGCTCTCCCAAAGGCAGGGAGGGGAAGGGAGGTGACAGCAGAGAGGAGCCGGGGTAACTGGTTCTTTCTCCTTTTAGGAAGAAAGTAAAAAGGAGAAGGGGAGGGAGAAGCTGTTTAAGGGATCTTGGTGACTCCCCTGGCTGAGGCTCCTGGGAGAGGGGGCTGAGCTTGTTGGATCCTGAAGCTGGGATCTTGTGTTTTCCTTTGTTCCATAAAATTATGCCACCTTCTCACTCCTATCTCCCCCCTTGCTGGCCCCAGCCACCAGCCGTGAAACCACAGCCAGCGCCACCCACGCATCCGCCTTGGGGCCACCCGGGTAGGCAGAGGAATCTAAAAGGGAAGAGAAAGAGAGCAGGAGAGAGGGACTGCAGAAGTCTCCAAATGGAGACAGGAAGGAGGGAGACAGAAAGACTGGAGAGAAGCATGGAAAGGGGGAGAAACAAGGGGATGGAGACTGGGAGCCCACCAGGAGAGAGATTGTTAGAGGGGGCCCAAAGGGTAGATCAAAGGGGTAGAAGAAGGAAAGTGGCAGAGAGAGGAAGGGAGGGAGGGGAAGGAAGAGAAAGAAAAAGAGAGAAAGAAAGGAAGGAAGAAGACAAGAGAGAGGTGAAAGAAAGGAGGAAAAAAAGAAAGAGAAAGACAGGGAGGGGAAGAAAGAGCGGAAAGGTCATGAAGCTGAGGGGTGTGTAGCAACTTTGAAAAACAAAAGTGGGCTGTCTGGAGGTTGGGGCTGCTCTGATCTTGCAAAATGCTGAGCTCATGGTGAGCGTCCTAAACCCGGTAGAGTCCAACCCATACTCAGCTCAGCAACTCTCCCGCCCACACTGTGCCACTGCCTCATTTTGGATGCCTCAAACTTGTGGTTCAGACACAGTAGAAGCAGGGGGTGCCAAAAGACCTGGCTCGTGCGGATGCCCCAAGGAACCATGAGCCCCATATCACCGAGGTGTTCATACGCCACGAAGGCTGCTGCACGGCTTTAGGAGGGTGTGTTTTGGAGCGCCGTCCCTAACCCTCCTTGCTTCCCCAGAACCAGTCTACTTTGTCACCACTGTGTATGTGTAGGGTAGCGGGGAGAGGTCTCCACAAGAATTAATATCTATTTTATTCTCTTGTTCCTTATAAGTTTCTCTTTGCTGGCGGAGAGACTTAGAATAAGTCAGAAGAAAGAAAAACCTTTTCCTGTTCAGGGTCCTGCGATTGCACAAATCCAAAATACTGCCGGCATGGAGATGGGGCTGGAAAACTCTAGAAGCAGGGAGAGTTATTAGGAACTCTAGGGTGTGCAGAGACAAATTTCTAAATAAAACAAGAAACACCAAGTGGGAAGTCGAAGAGAGAGGACCTGAAGTTCCGACACCATTGGGATAGAGGGCCAGAGAGTAAGACACTCAGGAACGCGGAACAAACATCTTAGCCAGGCACCTCTGTCCCCTGGGACCGGACGGAAATCCTCCTCAGACCTCATCCCAGGCGCTCACAGTACCAGCTGTAGGGCCCAGCACTGCCGGGGCTGCCACCCTCTGTCCCAGGAGTCCCCACGCTGAGACATCACTTGCTGGGTCTTTCTTCCTTCAAATACAAGACAAAAAATACACCTCATTTATCATCATAGATATATATATTTCACTCTCACCACATAAATACAAAACATCCAAATATCCAAAACATTCAGAACAAAGTTAGTAGCCAGGATTCAGTGACACCTACCCGCGTTTGAATCATTATTTTCTTCACTATTTGCCTAAAAAAAAAAAAGGAAAAAAGCTTCCGACTTAAATAATTTACAATAAAATTACTATTTTTTAAATGCTCTGCGCTGGCGTCGGATGGAGGAATACATTCTAGACACTGCGACACCTCGCCGCCTGGGTCTGTGGTTTTGGTTAAAATGCGGGTGGCGGTGGCTGTGGGGACGGTGGTTGTTGAGCGGGTAAGGGGTGAGGCCGCGACGGCATCGCGGTTCGGGTTTCTGTCTTGGAACCATGGAAACCCTGGGGCTTTTTTAGAGGAGGGGGTGGAGAGGGCTGCCTTTCCTATCCATGCAAGGAACTGATCCGGAATATAGAGATTACTGACAGAGGAGGCCGGCGGCCTTACTGTCCCTAACCGCCTCCCTGCCTCCTGGTCCGCAAAGAACTCTGAAATCCGGGCTTTTCCTGTTTGCTGGAAGGGCTTTGTGAATCCGGGGAGTTGGGGAGAGGAGGCAATGGGCACTGATTCATTTTCAAACCCAACAATTCTACCTGGAGTTACCCGTCGAGGACACGATGGGGAAAAGCGCCGGGTCCGGGAGCTGCCGCGAGCTGCACTGATCTCTCTCCTGGAGGAGCGTGAAGCTGTCGGCCAACTCCTGGAACAGCCTCAGAAAAGATTCTGAATTTTATTTCATCGGCGGCGTGGGCTTTTCTTTTGCTTTTTCCCTTCTAAATTCCTGTTTAAAGTCATCACACCCAGAACTTTAATTTTGCATTGCCCTGGGATGCATTTTCTATTCTGAATTTTCTTAAGCCTTCCAAACTCCATTGTTATGAATATTTAAAAACTGGTTCCACTTCATTTGGTTTTGTGTGGTAGTTGTTCCTCTTGTTTTATTGCTGGTTAGATCAAATTTATTACCACCGTTGCCTATCAGGATGTTTGGTTTATTGTCTCCTGGGGTCAGGGGTGGTTGTGATTGGAGTTTCTTTAAAGAGGAGAAAATTCGGCAGGATTTGTCCAGCCAGGAAGCTGAATATGCATCGACTTTCCGGAGAGGTCCGCAAAGTGGGGCCCAGGGGCTTCAGAAAGCCCTGGTTTCTCTGGCGAAAGGAAGGAACGTCCTCCTTTTTGGTCTAGCGAAATCTTTTCAGCTGGGGTCTGCGTGCAGCTTTCCTTTTTCAAATATTCATAAGACTAATCAACGGCAGCAGTGGCCCAATATGGAGCAGGTGTTCTGTGCTTTGGACTTAGAACCAGTCTTTTCCCTCCAGAGCCGGCACTGGTTGGGGGCATAAGGTTAGCTAACTTAGGCTTTTGCCCCAATTCTTTGGATTCTCCTGGATTCAGAAGGAAGTTAGGGTCGGAGGGGAGGAGAACGACACAGAGGAAAGGTAGGGAGAAAAAAAAAACAAAACTCAAATGGGATAATACTGGTAGCAGAGCCTGGTGGGGAAGAAGAGCTGTCAGACGCCTCGTGGGAGCCGGGAGCCCAGCGCAGGAGCCCTGGCGCCACACGCGCGTGTCCATAAATATCACCACAATAGATACTATAAATATAAATACAGGGAAACACTTAAAATCAGTCCAGCGCTTTTTTCTCGGCCCCTTCTTTATTGTTGGTCCGGGAGTAAGGCTCGAAGGCCGAGGAGCTCAGGTATCGGGCGGAGAGTTCTTGCAAATTCCCGGCCAGCGAACCCGCCATTGTCAACGGGGCGGAGGACAGGCGGCTGGCGACCGAGCC